GTCGTTGGTATCCTGTAAAAAAGACTCAACTTAAACTCTCTTTGCTCATATTCTCGTACAGTTCGACCGTAAACGTCCTATTAATTAAATATATTAACGTATTATACCGGTTTATTGTAATCTAACTCAAAGCTGCGACCTCCGTTCGTTACTCACAGAGCCGTTCTCACTTAAACGTCGTCTGAAAAGTCAAAAAGAGATTTTATTTCCAGCCTTTTGTTCGACAGCAGGTTGTAAAAATAAGTACATTTATATTTTCTCTGCACAGAAAGTTTATAAACTCATATACGAACGATAGATTGGGATTTAAACGTTAACAAGATGCTCAAAAAACTCCCAAATAAAAGTATAAAAAGTGATTTAGTGCTTTGGTTTTCCAATAAATGTTGTTTTTAACGTTTTAATGAATCTCCGGCGAACCGACGACACAGAACGGTGGCGACTAACTGAATTGTTTCAGTGATTTTTGCTCATTTTAAATCAAATTCCAGGTGTTTTCTTATCGGGGAAACTCGTCTCTACGTTTCCAGGTTTTCCAGGACGCACGGGAATCTTGTACGGGGCTTTTAATTTGAAAAGGATGCAGGAAGTGAGGCGTTAACGGCAGAGCAGCTCAGAAAACAGCGACGCTTCACAACTAAGATATTATTAAGTATATTCATTAAACGAAGGGTTCAATCTCTCATAAACTCAGATACATATGACAATAAATGATTGTTTATATTATAACAAGCCTGTTAATGTTAACATAATTAATTAATTATAACATGTTAAGAGTTTATTTGGAGTCTTTCTTTCCCTCGGCGGTCTGACTCTTATCTTTTACACTGTTTTACATCTTTACTGTGTAATTACAGCTTATATTTACACTTTATATTACCTTTAAACTCTACTGCTGTATATATACACACGTTTCTTGTGTATTTCCACCTCCTGACCTTTGCAATCTGCTCCATATCGGTCACATCTGTGTATAAAAAGTGTACAAACAGCTCTTATTTTTCTGTTTCTATTATATCTTTAGTTAATTTATTGTGTCATGTTGCTGCAGCAGCTGTTTCCCCCCCAGAGTGGGATCAATAAAGTCTGTTTTATCTTATTTCAGCAAATAAACAATATCACTTTAATCAGGAAGACTTGAGGCGCATGCGCAAAGCCACTTAAATAGTAAAGTTAACCAAAATAAGCAACACAACCGGAAGTAGTTCACCTTTAAATATAATACACGAACACGCTCGCGGGTGAATGTTACAGTGAATGTGTGTAAATAATACAACTTTATATTTAATATGTCTTATTTAAACACAACGATGTAGTTTAGTGTTTTTAAACGCCCCCCTACTTTAATGTTCGGGTGCGGCGAGGTGAGTACGGGACTCTTATCTCGTAATTGGACTTTATGTCTGCCGCAATACTTACGACTTTATGTCCTCGCTCAACTGTCCTACAACTTTATTCTCGCAATACTTGACGGACTCTTCATTCTCGCAAATTACCGACTTTATTCGTCCGTAACTGTTACAACTTTAGTTCTCGAAATATTCACGACTCTTATTCTGCGCAAATAGTTACGACACTCTTATTCGTCCGCAATATTAACAACTTTACTTCTCCGGCAATATTACGATTTATTTGCTCGTAACTATCGACCTTTATTGCTCGCAATATTACCACTTTATTCTCGTAATGATCACACACTTTTATCTCTCGCAACCTTTACACTTTATTCGGTCGTAAACTATGCACCCTTCTATTAATCGCAATATTACGACATTTATTCTCGTCACATGGTTAGACAAATTTATTCTCCGCAATATTAGCAACTTTATTCTGTAATGTTACACTGTTCATTCTCCGCAATATTACGCACTTTTTCTCGTAACTATGACTTTATCTCAATACTTACGACCCTTTGATTCTCGTAATGTTACAACTTTATTCTCACAATATTAACAGACTTTATTCCCTCGGCAATATTACGCATTTATTCTCGCAATATTACGACTTTATTCCTCGTCAATGTTACAACTTCTATTCTCACCAATATTACGACCTTTTATTGCTCGCAATACTTAACGACTTTATTCTCCGCAAATATTAACGACTGTTATTCTCGGCAATATTACAACTGTTATTCTCGGCAATATTACACCACTTTATCTCTCCCGTAATGTTCACCAACTTTATTCTCGCCAACCTCAGTTAACGACTTTATTCTCTAACCTCAGGTGACGTTTTATTCTCGGGCAATATACGACTTTTATTCTCGCAATCATTGACGAAACTGTTTCATCTCTCGCAATATTTACGACGGTTTTATTCTCCGGTAATGTTCACAACCCACTTTATTCGTCGCAAATTACGACTTTCATTCTCGTAACTATGACTTTATTCTCACAATATGTTAACGACTTTATTCCTCGTGACTATGCCACCCTCTTATTTCATCGCAATAGTCACAACTCTTATTCTCGCAATATTAACGGACCTTTTCATTCGGTCGTCAACTATGATTCTATTCTCGCATATACGACTTTATTCTCAGCAATATTACAACTTTATTCTCCGCGCGCGCATCATATTAATTACGGCACTTTGCATTGCTCGTAAGACTGTTCACCAACTTTATTCTCCGCAATCATTACGACTTTATTGCTCGTCAACTATGACCTTTATTTCTCCAGCAATATTACGACGTTCTATTCTCGTAACTGTTACAACGTTTATTCTCGCAATATTAACGACTTTCATTCCTCGCCTCAACTGATGACCTTCTATTCTCACAATATTCTACGGAACTCTTATGTCTCGTAATGGACACACTTTATTCTGCGGCCAGTATCTACCGACCTGTATCTCTCGTAAACTATGGACTTTGATTCTCGCCACATACTTCAGACCCCTTTATTCTCGTAATGTTGTATCAACTTTATTCCTCGGCAATATTACGACCGTTTATTAAAAGCAATATCACTCCACGACTCTTATTCTCGTAACTGATGACCTTTACTTCCCGCAATATTCACGACTATTACTTCTCCGTAACTGTTACCAACTGTTATTCTCGCCAGATATTACCGACTTTATTCTCCGCGAATTATTACGACTTCCTCATTCTCGTAATGGTTACAACTTTATTCTCAGAAAATACTTACCGACTTTATTCTCGGGAGAAATATTACGACTTTTATTCCCTCCGCACCTCTTACAACTATTATTGCTCGCCACTTCACTTACGATTTATTCTCGTAATATGACTCCTCTTACCCTTCTCGGCAATACTTAACGACTTTAATTCTCGTAACTTGCCTTACAACTTTAATTCTCGCAATATTACGACTTTATTCTCGTACACTATGACTTCTATTCTCCGCAATATTACGACTTTTATTCTCGTAATGTTACAAAATTTTTCTCGGCAATATTAACGACTTTATCCTCTCGTAATGTTACAACTTTATTCTCGCAATATTACGACTTTATTCTCGTACTATGCACTTTATTTCAGCAATATTACGACTTTATTCCCTCGTAATGTCCACTTTAGTTCCTCGCAATATTACCGACTTTATTCTCGTAACTATGACTTTATTCTCGCAATATTCACGCTTTATTCTCCGTAACTGTTAAAAGTTTATTCTCGCAATATTAACGACTTTATTCTCGTAATGTTACAACTTTAATTCTAGGCAATATTACGACTTTATTTCGTAACTATGAACTTTATTCTCGAATATTACGATTTATTCTCCGCTCAAATGTTACCACTTTCCATTCTCACAATATTACGACTTTATTCTCGCAATATTACGACTTTTAATCTTCGCAATATTCACGACTTTATTCTCGGTAACTACTGACTTTAATTCTCGCATATTTAGCCGACTTTTATTCTCGAAATGTTATAACTTTATTCTCTTTATTTCTCTCAGTCTGGCCCCTAACACTCGGTCGCACTCAAGAAGTTTAACTGATGATTTAACAATAAATAAATGAAAAAAAAACAAGACCGCTTTTATTTTGTTAACACCGCGGGGAAGTGCTCCGTTTCCATTCCCGGCTGACTTGACCCTGGTGTGGAAAAGTGGATGCTTCCGGCGGCAAACGGCGAAGTTGTTCTCCCGGTTTGAGTCCCGAATTACGCCGGCGATCTGCTCCGTTCCTGGACCGCTACGGGCTTTACTGGACCTACCGGAGCTCAACCTTCCCCCAGCTGGAGCCGAGTATCTTGCGGGACACCATCCTCCGGTGAGGCGGCAGACACAACACACACACACACTGATGATAATGGTCCGTGTTAGCTCCGCAGCTAGCCTTCCCTCCGTTAGCTGCGCGTCTGTGTTATTGTGTTTTCTCTTCTTGTTTACTTTAAAATATAAGTTAATAACGACCCACCAGCTGCTGGCTAAAAACGGCGGTAAAAGCCCGCGGGTTCGTTAAGACCCTTGGGCTCAAACCCGCAGATGTATAGAGTTTTCTGTCACTTTTTGTTTTTTTTGAATTGAGCTTAAATTTTTTCCCCGAAGCTTACAAAAAAAAAAAAAAAAAAAAAAAACAATCCGTTTTCATGTTGAACGTTTAAACGCAACAACACCAAACTGCCGGGCTGTTTGTTGGTGTCTGCGGGGCGGTGAGACGCCCGGGTACTCTCCGCATTGTGCCTGTGTTGTTATTGTGCGGACGGGATCGTATGTCACTTTTATCTTTTATTTACTCTAACACTTTATATACATTTTTATGGTTTCACACAAGCTCCGCGGTCACGCGCCGACTTCGGTGAGGCTTTCCCAATAAATCACCCCTCTTTTTTTTTTTTTTTTAG